TCAGTTATGAATGACTTAAAATTTAGAAAAGTGGACTGGTCGATGCTGAAACATTGAGTATGATCACAAATTAGACCTCCTGCATAAAGCGCTTTGCCTCATTGGCTGACATCAAAATAGTTTCAGTCAATGAACTGGTGCTTCCATATTCATACACGAATAGGTCGTGGTAACGACGACAAAAGCGATTGCCGGCATCAGAAACGTTTTAGAAGAACAGCCGCTGAAGATGATGCCGGTGCCAGAATCGCACTGAAAGAAGCGTCACGAGCCTTTTGAGTCGATTCGTGAGGGATGCACTTCTTACTAGGGTGGCTTCTCTTCGTCACATTGGCTTGTAGCACTTTCATGTGCTTTCTGATAATATTTCTTATTCTTCGTGCTCTATATAAGGGCGTGTGGCCGCAGTGAGCTAATCACACAATGTGTGCAGTGTGAAGGGGAGAAATTGGCCATTGCTGGCCTGTTAAACACGGGCACTTAATTCTTAGAAGGGCTCGGTTTGTTTCAGAAAAGGACATGTAAGAATTGACAGCGCCTAATTCAATCATGGAGGAGTGGCTCGTAAAGTTTAAAACATACTGTGGAAGGCTCGTCATGAAATTGCGATTAGTGTCTATGCAAAAGTCAGAGCTCAGATCATTACCAAATGCGGCATAGGCAACAGTGTAACAAAAAGACGTCGAGGATGTCAAGGTAGTCAAATGAGACTTTCATTATAGGTTGTGCACCCAATACCTAAAGAAGGGTTCTCTCAACTGAGGCCATATAAATATCTTGTGAACGGTAACACTTCCGATAAAGTTGGAAGCTCCAACAAGAGTTTATCGCCCGTATTTCCAACGACTTTGGATAAATAAGTACCGCTCTGAAGTAATGCACGGCGAGGGAACAGGTGGGAGGCTGTGAAGCGTAGTTTCAAAGTGAGCTCAGGAGGTAACATATGTATACAGTGAGGGACTCGAAACTGATAATGAAATAAGAGGATTCTGCGTTGCATGCGTTTCAAATTCGGAGTAGTGACAGTTTTGGTAATACAGATCAAGGTACAGACCACAATGAAGCCTCCATTTGACCACTCGATAGAGAAGCGCATTACAGCTGACTACAAGCATTGGCCATACTGCGGGCGTCTCGGTCAGAGTGCATTCTTATTTTTCCAATATACCTCTGGTGAGTAACAGATTCACTTACACAACATCAGCAACTGATCCAACAAGGGCATGATCGCCACCGTATTCTCCACCTCCGAACTTGGTGACACTGGTATTGGACAGGGTGTCGTAGGTCATTTCAGGACACTTGCCGGCTGTCCGATCGACAATGGCCATACCGATCTAGATGAAATGCGAACGTTGTATTTAGTATAAAAGTGGTATGAAGCTAACAACTGTTGGCCGGGAACTTATGTAATGTGGAATGGTCTTATAGAAAGATCAACATCAACGAAAACACCCATGAAGCACAGCCCGCAACATGTATGCTTCAGAAAGAGTAAAGCTTCATGTGAAAAGAAATTCATGATTTTTTCATTGTAATTCGTCAGTATGGCTGCCATTCCAAGCACATCTCGTTGCTTCAGAGGATACCCCTTCATGCGTTTACCGCTCCGCGCAAAGCGTCTATCATGCACTCCACAACGGGCTAAAAGATCAAATACCAAAATATGATGCAATTTACTAATTTGCTTCGACATGGGGCGTATGATTTGAATGATAAAAGGGCGAGGTTTGAACAAGGGACAAGGCTGAAATATAAGCGTATACGTGCAGATCAGTATAGTCCTCTACCTACAGTTGTGTTGCGATTGATGAGAAAATTGCACTCAAAATCGTCGTCGTCTTCTCCAAGGGGATTGAGCAGTGCTTCAGCTACCTGAACAAGAATGATCGGCAGTTGATACTATTAAGAAATGCAAGTAGGCTCTGAGGGGATTGGTAAGTAGCGAAAAGGAAATATTTTTGCATGACAAGTAGCAAAAAGGGAATATTTTTGCTTGACTTTTCTGCAAGGTGTCATTGATGACACAAGCCCAAATATGACTCTCGACACCGGTGCCACTTGGTTCGGTCCATAATGCTCTTTCATGGCAGGATTTATTGTCAGAATATGATATTATGCTAACGCCGTCTTCTCCATCCCTTCGGTTCTTGGATAGTTTCGAGAACGGTCCAGGTCTACCTAGGTCGCCTAGCCTGGCTATGAAGGTTCACTAGCACTTAAAAGATGACAATATGATTGTGCTTGCCTTCATCCAAGCACGAAGAAGAGAAACTGAAGGATCGTCATAACAGGCACGTAGAGGTCAATCTAAATTGAAGTTTAAGTGAGTGATGGAAGTCTCAATGCTCTCCAAATTTCTTCAGAAGACAATCATATTGAAGGCGAAACTCGCGCTGATGTAGGAAGAGCCTCCAGAAGCTGAATTCCCGCTAGTCGCCAAGAGCAGCGTGAAGTGCCGCTAAAGCGTTTTTCAACTGCTGGGTGCTTACTGGACGCTCCGTCCACACTCTGAGCGTGTTCTTAGCCTTCAGATTACCATTCGTCCTTACCGACGGAGCGTTTGGAGCACCGTCCCCTATGAGGAATTGTCGTGACACAAGACATATTATAAAATAGGAGCGCACAGCGAGGAACACGACCTAAACTGAACCCATATCAGCGTTCATAGGGTGTGAAGCAAAAACTTACCTGAGGATAGGCTATTGGTATAGGGACCCAATCATAGTTGCACAAGAGAGCAAGATGGGTGCGGAAAGTAATAAGTTCCTACAAATGCTTCTATTCGAGCGCTTTTGAAGGAATCGAAGAATTGTGAGGAACAACCTTCATCATCAAGCTATAAGAAGGTGCATCAGCGATAAACTCCTTGTTGCGGGCTCGCGCTATCAAGGTTACGGCCCAGTTCACTGGCAACCAGTACCTGAAATATTAAAGTGATAACAATCGCCGTACAGAACAGCGATACGAAAGAGAGCTGGAGTAATCTTCCCATACTACAAATAGAATATTTTTGCATCATAGAAAAAAATTGTTAAGGGACCGCGTTCACTAGCCCGCGAACCGCTCGTCGTCTGATAATGCGGTAGTGTTTTCGACTGCCAGAACATTTCCGAGCAAGAGATACTGCTGCATAAAAGCACTTGCTCAAATCTTCTAACCCTAACTTGCAATCAACAATGGCACTTAGTAAAGCAATTTTCTGCAACTTGCTGGCAGTTGATTATTCTTCAGAATCATGTATGGACGCTATGAGCTGAATCAAGCCTAGACGACCCTGGAGGAACATCGGATGTTTTGTGAATGTTTGCACTTTTACGAGTGTGTTAATGTTGATATCTTGCATATTAAGTCGCGTACTATGGTAACACGTCATTCATGTGTGTTTTATTGAATGTTCTCAAAAAAAACATGCCAAATTAAGAGAATAGGTATTCAAAAGCCATGGTGACCATGATGCAGCAGCAGCCTTCTGGCGAAGGTACTGCATGGCTGCGACAGGTGCCGCGATTCTGACGGCAGCTTTTGCGTGAAAATAGAGTGCTGCCAGAGCTCAAGCACGATGCGTCCGATGCTGTTTCTCAATGCTCCAATGTTTTCTCCGATAGTTTTGTTTTCCTGCTCATGCATTCTCATTTGCGGCAAAATGTCCTAGAGAGACGAGCTCGTTATAATCCTCTCTAATAGGCGCCTATTTATTGATGATTGCAACAGAAGAAGAAGTGGAACTTACTTTTTAACTTCTGGCGCCTTTACATCTTCGTACACCTCGACCTCGTGCTCCAGCATAAAACCTGGAAGTATTCAACAGATGGGCTCCTCAAACTCCAATGTTTAATGTTCATATGGGATTTTGAAGCGTTCGAGACTCTCGAAAATCCAGTCTTAGTGAAGCACCACAGAACAATATCTAAGCGTTATTGTCAATCCTTGCAATAGTCAATCATAAGCACTCATATTAGTAACTTCTGAGCGCTAAATGTCCCTGATTTTAGTTGATTTATTTCAGGAGCCAACAAGTAGAACTCAACAAGGTAGCTGTGATGCGAGCAGTGAACACCTTATGGCGTGAAAATTAAGTATCCACTCTGAAGATAAATGATTGGAGGGGTTGGGCATTGGTAATTCGTGTGTTGTTCCCGGTGTCGGGACATTGATTTCGATGTCTGATGCTTTTGGGGTTTTTAACTAATAATTAATGAGAGCGGCGCGCGGCAAGTCGCGTGACAGCGTGCCGGGGCTCGTGGCCGTTGGTCAAGCAGGCCACAAATCGCGTAGTTCCGTGTGCAACGGTTGCTATTAGAAAGCCATGCACCACCAAATCTCGCTCATATCGAGCTGCCGGCTCGTCATATGTCCCCGACCTAGTAAACTTACCGTCGGCTCCCGTTCGAAACGAATCGTAGACTGCAAACGTTCATATACTTAGACCTTTTTGTGGGTACAACCTTCTTGGTGGGGTGCGGCTCGATTAGGCGAATTATTTCTCGTTACCTTTGTGCGTGACAGCATCTAGAGTGCATTCCTCACTCGGTGGCACACCGTTGGGTGTGAAGATTCCTTGTTACTCTTATATTTGATAGTTTATCTGACTTAGTATTGTGCTGTCCCGGAGCCTCATCAGGACCTAAATTTGTTTAACACAGTGTAGCTATAAAACTTTTGGAGCTTTCCTGTGTTAAACAAATTTAGTTCATCTGACTACCTTTTAGAGGTAAGAACACAAGCGTACAGAGAGTATGAGTACAGTATGAAGCATGAGTGAGCCCATGCAAGAGTAGTTGGTATAAATGTTAAGCATGGGTATACATGATATATGTATGCAAGAGTACAAACATTAGGAGTATATTAGAGTACAACATGTGAGTCGGTTAGGCACGCCGATTTTCGAGGAGGAGGAGGAAAATAGAAATGCTCGCCCATCCCGGTTTCTCGCTTCCTTGAGGCTTAGTATTAGTAGAAGGGGCACTTCCGGGGTGGGTAAGCATATTAATGGGGAAGATAGGTAATATCGAAATTGACGTGCTCATCCGAAAACCACTAGCACAGGTTGAATGACTAATCCGGTTGAAGCAGTTGAAGCCTTGCTCCAATCTACAAAATTTGTTGTGCCCTACCAAAAAATTTCGTCTCCCTCCACTTACACTCGAAAATGGTTAGAAGTAAGGGGGGTCGAGAAGTTCATTTCACAGAGATGAAGTCAAAACTTACTGAAAACTCACCAAGACAACTGTATTGGTGAAAGGTAATCTAAATAGAAAGTAGTGGCAGGGAGTTGTTGTTACTAAGTGTTACAGAGTTACAGTAGGGTACAGAAAGCTCGGCTTTCAGTAAATAGATCAAGCATATAAGGGTAGACTTGCTGAGAAATCAGAAGGTTGCTTTGCAACCGTAGAGTCGCGCTCCAACATAGGGTGCGCACAACACATGTCGCGCGCCCCTCTATCTTTATAGATGCGGCCCACTATGGTGTTCTTGCCACCGTTTAGACAACAATTCACAGTTGTCGACTGCTACCGTCGTCATTATTAATAATGTTCGGATTGTATAAGCCTTGTAAGGATGAGGCGTTCGTTGTAATGGCTTCTGTCTAGGATGCGCCACACATTCCACAGTCATTCAGGGGCCTAGTGGCATTTGAAAGTGATTTGGCTTAGACATTAGCTCGTGGGAGATATAATCAGTGCACATGTCAGATTTTTTTTATCCTCACTGGCAAGTTCAGCATCAGTTGTTGATAATGGAGTAGGGAATAATTAGGGACCAATGAGAGTGGGTGAAGGTCAATCTTTGGTCCCGTACCATGCGCGTTATTAAAGGCAAAGGTTGAGCTCAGCCTCACTGATGAAGTCCCTCTCGTGGGCAGAGGGGCAAAACCCGTCACTAAGGAGATAGCGATCAATTAGGATTTCGAAGTGACCCACTAAGGGGCCGAGCGCCTAAGATTTTGATCCATCGACGCCGGTCAAACCGCACACCCCCTGCCGTTCGATATGTTCTCTGCTTCGTATTGGTTGATCAGCTGTGCTTCTCTCAACTTGGAGTTCTTTCACCCTTTCCGGGATCATATCATCTCTTGTTCAGCTCTCTTCCTCTCAGGCTTTTCAGCAACTGAAGTAAGGAGATTTGTGTTTACTGCATTTTGAACGATGGTTCTTCCTTTTTTCAACTTGTGGTCCACTTCACAGCCCTACTTTCGCATTTGAGAGGAACTACCACTGCAATAAGGATCATAATGCAATCTACAGCTCAATATCGGCTGCCAGTCAGTATCGACTGCGCGGGAAAGGCTGTATAAAAGGAAGCGCCTGTCATTTTCAAATCATTTGTCTTAATTTTCACCTGGAACCCCCTCCAGAAGAGGGTTATTTTGTTTTCTTAATCGAAATCCTCAGAAGTGGAATGTCGCCCTCATTTTAAGGTTGATTACTGATCTGCATTGAGCGCCTCTCCCTTACTTCTCAAAAGAAGGGATAAAAGCTATTTTTCGCTTGAGAAAGGAAGCTTTCTCTCTTTTGGAGGATCTCTGCGCATTTTCTTTCTATCAAAGTGTTGTTCTACTTCGCCGTTTAATTGTGTTTTGTGCATATCGCTAGTTTCTTTATTGTTGTTCTTTTTTTATTGTAGAGAAAAACAGATTTGTCACATTTTATTTGAGTGTCGATACTCGCATGCCTCGGGTTTTACCAACAACACAAAACTTTACATGGGGGCCAAGCCGGCTCGAACCTAGTGTGGCAACAAGTAGTCGTTACCTGGAAGTGGTCCAGTAAAGAAACGTCAACTTTTACAAAATCACAGCCAAATAAAGATTTTCGAAATACGTATTGATCGAAATTCGATTTAGCGTAAAGACATCGTTGCAGAGTCTGAAAAGTGTGCGATGTCTGCACAAGAGAACCTAGAAGTGGCAGAAGGCGCGAAAGACGTCCACCATGAGGCAATTCAAGCTGACGAGGGAGCGTTCGTGTGTGCGGTATCTATCAAGCTCATCGTTGGCCAGAAATGGAAAACAATGTTCTAGAAGAAGAAGGGAAAGCATTACCTCTTAACACCACGAAGCCCTTCTAAGATCAGCATGCTGTTGTTTAAAATATTACGGCAATCACATACAGTATCGCGAAGCTTCCAGGAATAGAGATCAATTT